TCCTCCTCCTCCTCCTCCTCCTCCTCCTCCTCCCCGACGACTCGCTCGAGACCGCCCGCGGGATGACCGCCAGCCAGCGGAGCGCCCTGAGAAGCGCGCGCGGGTTCTCGCCCGCGGCACTGGTCTTGGGGGCGCGGCCCGAGACCCCTGGCGCCCTCTGCGACGAGGACTTCGGCCTGTCGGACCAGGCCGTGCTGGTCGAGCCCAAGAGCGAGGTGCACGAGATGAGGATCAGGAGAACGGCTGCCGCGACGGCCTCCATCGAGGCCAATTGCTCACGTGCAGGCCGACGAGGGGGAACTACGAGATCGGAGAGTGGGTCTACTTCTGGCGACCCGAGCAGACGCAGGGGCTGGAGACGCGCCACTGGCACGGCCCAGCTCTAACGGCAGCAGTGGAAGCGAAGGTCAACGAGGACAACGCGATGCGCGCCTCGGTGGCGTGGGCGACTCACGGGCGCACGATCACCCGTTGCACCGTGAAGCAGCTACGCCCCGAGCTGCCTGGTGAGGCCCGCGAACGAGAAGGACGCAGCGAGGATCCCGACAGCCCGCCCAGCACGATCGAGAGGCTCAGGCGCGTGCTCAGACGGACGAAGAGAACCTGCAAGTACCAGGACCTCGCCGAGGAGGGGAGCTTGCCCCAGTACGACGACCACATGGACGACACGCGCGAGCAGCAGCAGCCGCGCGCCCAGGCGCCAATGGAGACGGACGAGACCGACGACCCGACAGGAGCAGCTGCCGCGGCGGCCCCTGGAGATCCCCAGCCGACGACGGCGGGCGAGGACGAGGGCGGCAGACCACCTGCGGCCAGCGCCCGCGTCTGGCAGCGATGCTCAGGCGCCCTGGGCGATGGCTAGCGAGGTCCCACATCGAGGCGATGGCTGAGAGGAGCGTCGAGGAGGCTGAGAAGCTGGACGGCATCCCGCCGGCCAAGCGCGCCCGCGCGTCGCGGGCGAAGCTCGCCCCGCAGAGCGAGGAGGCAGCGCTCGCCGACGAGGTGGACGACGAGATGCTGTTGTCGGAGGAGTCCACCGAGACGGTCTCCACGCTGGCCTTCAGAAGGAGAGCCCCCACCGTCGCGGAGGGCAGGCTGACGCCCGAGGAGATGGACCAGCTCTACGCGGCGAAGCTGGAGGCCCTCGAGGTTTCCAATCGCAACGACGGATGGGGGCCCATCAGCGAGACAGACGTGGATCCCGGGGCCTGCTGCCCCCTCCGCTTCCTGCTGAAGTGGGAGCGGAAAGGTGGGCAGAGGATGGCAGTGCGCGCGTGCTCTGCCAGGGCTTCAAGCACCGCGACGTCGCCGAGGGCCGGCTCGACAAGAAGGCGCCGACTCTCGGCAGGCTCGGCCGACACGCGGCCATGCTCTGGGCGTCTCTATGGAGGTGGAGGCTGTTCCGCGCGGGCGTCAGGTCCGCATCCCTGCAGGCTGAGGACGCGAGCACACGCGGCCTCAAGCTGCACGCGAGTCCGACGAAGGAGATGAGAAAGATGCTCTCTCACCAAATCGGCCTGCAACCTGGACAACTGCCCAAGATGATCGAGCCGTGTTCTGGTGACCCGCGGTCGCCCTAGCTTTGGCACTATCGTTCAGACGAAGTCGCGAAGGATATCGGTTTCAAGAACCACGAGCTCGAGAATTGCCTGTTGCTGCCCCTGCGCCCGGCGAGGTTCGACGACGACCCGTTCGACGCGCGCAGTTTCGAGGGCCAGACCTATGCGGTGGATGGCCTGATCGGCAAGCACGTGAACGACTTCATCGGGCGCGGGGAGGGCGTGACGAACGAACAGGACCTCTGCGCAAAGCTCGATGTTACCGAGTGCTTGCACGAGAATGCTCAGCGAGAAGTTCAAGTTCGGCAAGTGGAAGTTCGGACTGAGTCTGGTCTTCACTCGAGGCGAAGTGGAGCAGTCTCTGAGCACCTACGGCGTTACCCTCAAGTTCGAGAAGTACCAGCACGCGGTCAAGCCCATCACCGTCGAGAAGCATCGGAGAGCCGACCCCACGAGTGCGCTGTCGCCGAAGGAGCTGACGAACTTCAGGACTCTGAATGGACAGTTGCAGTGGCCGGCAGCCCAAGGAGAGATCATAGCAGCGGCTACTGTGTCCTTCCGAGCTTCGGTGACAGGTCGAACTACCATGCAGGATCTCTCGGATGCGAACAAGCACTTGCACTGCCTGAAGGCCAACGCGGACGTAAAGCTGTCCTTCGGGATCGACAAGGCCTGGAGTCAACTCCGAATTGGCAGCTAATTGCACCGACGCGAGCTGGGCGAGCCGACATGACGGAAATTCGCAAGGAGGCTGTGCCACCTTCAATGGCCCCGCGGACGAGCTCGACGCCGGCACCCCCACGCCTTTCGTGGCATGGAGCGGGCTTGGAAGAAGCTGCAGCGTCTGTGCAGGAGCTCTCTGTCGGCTGAGGCCCAGGCAGCAGCCTCGGGTGCGGACTCGCCGACGTGGGCGGAGGTCCAGCCTGGCCTGGAGCCCGCGACCCGACCTGGAGCCCGAGGAGGCGACGGTGTACCTGGGAGAGTCGCCGTTCATCACCGACGCGAAGCGTCTCCACGACGCATCGCGCTTGGCGACGGCAGGCCCGGGCGTCGCGGAGGAGAGGAAGGGCCGTCGAGGTGAAGATCGCGAACGGGCAGATGGCGGAGATCGGCGCTGCCTGGAAGTGGGTGCAGACGCAGCAGCAGATGGCGGACGGACTTGCCAAGCTCCCGGCCCGCCCGATGATGGCCGACGTGCTACGACGTGGAATGCATGCACTACGATGGTCCTGAATTCGCGGCCTGCAAAAAAAGTGTCCAAGAGAGCCCTGGAGCAACGCGGGAAGCAGCTGGATGACGCCAGCCAGGCACTACACGACACCCTCGAGACACCGCGTGTGACGATGACGAAGGCGAAGGCGAAAGCCACGACCAAGCGCTATGTTGGCGCAAGTGGAGCGAAGCTGGCTGCAGTATTGGCGGCTAGCACAGGCAGCAGTGCGGCGAGTCAGGTGATGCAGTGCACGCCCAGCGGCGTTGAATTGTTGAGTCCACCGACGACGGCCGACTGGAACGACATGATTCTGAAGATGATGGTTTTCGGTCTCGTGCTGGGACTGGTGGTGAAATTCTACTGCGGGGTCCGTGCTGGAGTATGCTGGGCATGCTGGACCAAGCAGATCGAGCCCGACACGAAGATCAAGGAGGTGCGTGAGCCCAAAACGGAGCCGTTGCAGCTATGCGACCACCACGACCGGGACGGACCCGAAGCCGATGAAGCTGAAGAGGACGCGCAATGTGCTCGTCCAGTCACAATGTCGCTACAACCAGGACCTCAGCACACCGAGGTTCCAGCCGCTGCCCGACTACGCTCACGGAGCGTTCGTGATGGGATGAAGGGGTTTCCCAAAGCCGTTTTGGCGAGAGGCCAGTTTTGCATGATGGTCGGCGTGGCCGACATGAGTGACATGATGGTCAGCGAGGCCGACATGCATGACTTGGTCGGCGAGGGCCGACTAGTGCGTGAGTGCTCCGAGGAGCACGCCTTGTGCATGTTTCCGCCTGGCAAGAAAGACCGATCGCCGGGTGTGCTGATACATTAAAGAGATATTGACGTCGCTGCCCGACCGCCAGTGAATTTCACATTCGAGTCAGGCTGGTTTGTGGTGGGAACCAGCGGTGCTTGCGTCGTATAAGATGTTCTTGTTTCGGTCCTGTTCCCGTTTACAAATTTCCTGGTGAGATTCCGGGGAGCCCTGACCGTGGCAATATGCGTTATCGTGCAAATATGTGCTGACTCCTTTTTCCGCCCGTGTCGATATAAACCCATTATACCGAGTTACGTGTATGTTGTCTTGTGTATTAGCACAGCTCAGCAGTATCTGTACCAATGCCATCTGATGCTCGGGGGCCCCTGAAAAGGGTTGCGTATCTTACGAGTTGATGCGATTATCAAGATAATATGATCTATCGAACACATCCCGAAGAGACTTCGTATGCTGCCATCGGTTGATAGGCATGTCCCCCTACTACGGATGTTGGGCGAACAAATTAAAAATAATCAAAGCATGCCAAAACAATAGCCAAACCATCTCCGACAAATCGTCCCCAGACTATATGGTTTGACTATGTTTCAACATTCCTCCTGTAGAGGGACATGCCCGACTTAACACTAACTACGTCAGGCATTCAATCATTAGTTCAAAAAGTTCTACAGTCGGGGCGTTGATCTCCGAACGAGACCCCCTCCTCCCATAAGTTCAGCTTCGCTTTCCCATGGGAAACCTGAGGAGCACCCAGGGAAAACTGTAAAACAGCCAAGGAGCACCGAGCCCCTCCCCAACGAAGATAGGCTCCTTCTTCAGCGCCCCGACCGTATCAGAGGGAGGGGTGCCCGAACGGGATTACTTCTTCCCCCGGGCGTGCGCTCGCGACTCTTGAAGGGTTCGCCCTGGTCGGGGATCTTCTGACCCGGGTCCATCCAGACCCGGGTCAGCAAGAAACCAAAAACTGCAATGCAAAAACAAAAAAACTGCACCGCAGGTCTTCGCAAACCCGGGTCAGCCAATACGCGCGGCCGCCTCGCGGCCACGAGCGGCTCCCTGACCCGGGTCAGCCAGAGGGGGCCTTCGCAGGATCCTGCAAGACCTGGCGCTCTGGCTGACCCCCGTTTGCACTGACCCCCGTCTCGAGGCTCCCGACCTGGACACTGGGGATGGACGCCGCGGATGTCTTCGGCGGGGCGCCGAGGGCACTGCCGACAGGGCTGCCCGCCGCGCCCCACGGGGCACGCTCGCAGCATCCCCAGCGTTGTGTGTTGGAGCTCGAGCTCGAGCCCGAGCTCGAAGAGAAGATGACTACCTACCAGACCACCCCAACCCAACCCGAAGACCCGAATTTCGGCTTGGGGGGGTACGGGTTCCATATGTGTTTTCTCGATGTTTCACGACCCCCCCCCACTGGATATCGAGGATAAATCGGGGCCTTCGGGTTGGGTTGGGGTGGTTTGGTGGGTGGTGAGAAGAGAGCTCTCCACTGCTAGAAGAGCGCTTTGCGAACCACAGGAGCTAACGATGTGCATGAGCCCCGTGGGCGCTGGAACGCGAAGATTGGGATCACCCCCTCTGCTTAAAACGTCTCCGCGTCGACGGCCACGACGCCATCGCGCGTGTTGACCATCTTGCGGCAGCAGAGCGGACAGGTGTGTCTCTTCGAGACGCACCGCGAACCACTCTGTGCGAGCCAACGCGCCGCGCAAAGCGGATGGAAAATGTGTTTGCAGGGAAGCTCTGTGAGTACCTCGTCGGGCCCGACGCCCTCGAGGCAGATGGCGCACTGGTCGATCCCAGCCTCGCATGCGACCACGCTGGGAAAGGATGTTAACACCTTCTCGTCCTGCGAGGCCTCCGATGGCAGCCGGACCATGAATGGACTCTTGTCGGTGGCCACCTCGAGTTTCCTCCTCATGGTCGCGACGTGCTCAAACCATTTGGGGCCCGCCGACTGCGGGGGCACCGTGGAGACCCTCACCTCGAGGGGCCCCGAGCGGCTCAACTCCTTCATCAGGGGCCAATACCCGCCCACCCCGTTCACCTGCTCGATGACGAAACCGGGCTGCACGGCCGCGTCGGGGTTCTCCTTGTTCCATTTGTCGAGGACGTAGCCCTCCTCGACGCAGTACACCACCGCGCCCGTCGGCACGCTCGCGAGGCTCGCACCGAGCGCGTCGCCGACGCCCTTGTGCAGCCGGATGGTGAAGTGCTCGGGGCACTTGCGCTCCAGAACGCTCGCTAGAGGCTGCGCGCGCCTGGGGAGACCAAAAAGGTACCAATACTGCTACTCCTGAGACCTTTCGTGGGGTGCGTGACGGCAAAAATTTCGAGGCGAACCCATCGGAGGCGACGTCGGCCTCCCAGGAGGCCCAAAAATGAATCCGGTCTGGATATCTCTTCATCCTCCGAATGCCTGTTCTGCAGAACCTGCTCGATTGTGCACCTCGCCTCGGCAATTACACTCGGGATGCACCCCATGGCGCGCCGCGACGCGGCGGCGCGTCCGAGCCCACGGTGGCGAGCAGCCTCCTGTTTTTTTTGTCGGGGGGCGGCTCGAACCCCAGCGGCCCGTGAGCAAGAGTGGCCATACGGAAGGAGCTGTCAGTGGTCTGTCTCGGAGGGCTTCCTTGGGAACCCCAGTCACCCCATAGAGGTTTCAAGCACCTGATGCTCCACCCCCCCAAGACGCGCTGTCTTCTTGTGTATACATACGTGTATACATATATATATATATATATATATATATATATGTACATACACACACCGTTCTTCCGCGCACGTGACCACGCCAATGGTCTGTTAGCTGCTCGTTGTCCCCTTCCCTCCAACGTGCCACCGAATCGCCCCCGCCTATCACCCCAACAGCCACGCTGTGCCTCACCGAAAGCCTCGGCGGTAGCACGGGCAGTGGGGGGCAGCAGGGAACGTCGGCACACACGCACGGGAAAGGAGAAATCTGCTACAACTGATTGGGCTACGGCACCTCAAGCAAACAATGGGCCGGCTTCGCAGACATGACTTGCGGGTGGCAAGCGGGCGGGAGCCAGACCAGCTCTGGGATGAAGACGGCGCACGTTTCACGTTTCACCGGGAAATGGTATGACCATGCAAGCATGTATGCGGGCATACCGTTCTCCCGCGCACGTGACCACGCCAATGGTCTGTTAGCTCGTTATCCCTTCCCTCCAACGTGTCACCGAATCGTCCCCGCCACAATCACCCCAACAGCCACGCTACGCCTCACCGAAGGCCTGGAAAGTAGCGCAAGCACTGGGGGACAGCAGGGAACGTCGGCACACGCGCAAGGAAAGGGGGAATCTGCTACACCACAATCTCCCTCCTTGGCTCCCACAAGGGCCGTGTGAAAATACTGTTTGACTCCCCCCCCCGCTTTAATTGCAAAGGCCTGGCCTCTGCTGTTCTCTGCGCACACATCATACACTGAGACACGCGAGCACGAGGATGCATTTTTAAAACAACCGATAAAAGGCTTGCGGCAACGCCAGGCCATGCTGCACGGCTGAGGCAGCCTGGTCCTGGGGCCGCACCTTCACAGGGTCGGCCACCGCGCCATCCACGTAGATGCGCGCGGTCACGAACGACGCCAGCGGCCTGCACCAAAAAAACGGACGCGCCTCCGCGGCGACATGAGTGCCGCGAGAAGGGGCTTGGAAGGCGCAGCCTGCGTGCCAGAGCCGCCAGCGCGCTCCTCAGCTGCGCTGGCGACCTCCACGACAGGGGCTCCGTTGGGCGCCGATGCTGCGCTACAAGCCGCAGCATCTCCTTTGCTACGCGCGAGCGGATGACGAGAGCCTCGGCACTATCCATTCCCGCCGTCGTCTTGGACGTGCTGATCCGTGGGACAGCGACTTCGCTTCCGCCCGGCACATCGCAGGGCGAAGCCCTCGCCACCACACAACAGGTCCTCAAAACTGATGAGAGGCAAGCAT